CCTCGCGGTACAAGGAGAACCCGGTGGCTCTGAAGTGCTGCCAGGACGGGATGACCCGGGTGCCGATGCGCCTGACGTGTGAGCAGCGAGCGACGCGGATCAAGGGCCCCAACGCAGCCCGCTGCCGACAGCCCTTCCTGGACTGCTGCCAATTCGCCACCGAGCTGCGGCGCAAGGCCCGGGCCTGGGGCTCTGGCGGGCTGGCCCGGGGTGAGCCTGGGCTCGGGGGGGCTGAGAGCTCGGACTCCTGGGTTCTCTCCCGCCTCTGGGAGGGGAGTGGGGGCTGGTGGCTGGAGCAGGGGCGGGCTGGGAGCCCGGACGCCTGGGTTCTCTCCCCGGCTCTGGGAGGGGAGTGGGGGCTGGTGGCTGGAGCAGGGGGGGCTGAGAGTCAGGACTCCTGGGTTCTCTCCCGCCTCTGGGAGGGGAGTGGGGGCTGGTGGCTGGAGCAGGGCGGGCTGGAGCCCGGACGCCTGGGTTCTCTCCCCGGCTCTGGGAGGGGAGTGGGGGCTGGTGGCTGGAGCAGGGGGTGGGAGCCTGGCTCTGGGGTCCCTCCCCACCGCTGACCCCGCCCCGCTCTCCCCCGCGCAGTGAACCTCGAGGTGGACGAGGACGATTTCTTCAACGACGATTCTGTGCAGACCCGGAGCGTCTTCCCCGAGAGCTGGCTCTGGAAAACCATCACCGTGGACGGGAGCAGCCGGTCAGGGACCCCCGGGGTGCCCCTCCCCACACTTCTCCTCGGGTGCCCCTCCCCCACGTCACCAGCCCTCTCCCCACAAATCTCCTGGGGCTCCCCTCCTTCCCAGGCATCCCCCCAAGCACCTTCCCTGGGGCCACCCTCCCTACCCAGCCCCCCCAGCCTCCTGGTGCAGCCCAGCCCCCACCCCACTGACCCCCCCCACCCCGGCCTGTCTCCCGCAGGCAAACCCACCTGGTGCCGGATTCGATCACCACCTGGGAGATCCAGGCCATCAGCATGTCGCCGACCACCGGTGAGTCCGTCCCCCCGTCCCCCCATCTGCCCCTCCCGTAGCTCGCCCCCCCCCGCTCACCCCTCTCCTCCCTCGCCCCAGGGATCTGCGTCTCCGACCCGCTCAGCGTCCGCGTCTTCCAGGATTTCCACGTCTCGCTGCGGCTGCCCTACGCGGTGAAGCGATTCGAGCAGCTGGAGCTGCGCCCGGTGCTGTACAACTACCAGGATCGGCCCGTCAACGTGAGGGGCCCCCGCTCGGCCGTGCCCCCCCTGCCCTGCCGATGCCCCTCTGCCCTGAGCCGCAGCCCCCTGCCCCGGCCCTGCCCTGCCCTGCCCCCAGCCCCGACCTGCAGCCCGCTGACCCCGGCCCTGATCCCGGCCCTGCCCTGCCCCCTGCCCTGCCGATGCCCCTCTGCCCCGACCCGCAGCCCCTTGCCCCCGGCCCTGATCCTGCCCTGCTGGTGCCCCCCAGCCCCAACCCGCAGCCCCTGGCCCTGCCCCCAAGCCCT